CCCTCCCCTCATGCTCGGTGTTTTTATCGACGTGCAACCCAAATACCGCCTACCATACCTCTACCTGGCCCCCATGTTGTTCGTTGCGCCTACCGCACAGCCCGTTTAGGGGCACGCGTTCGTACGCAGCGGCATGTACTCACGCTCCTGCGCATATGAGAACTTCGAGGCAAAAAAAGAGTTTTTTAGTCGCAATTCGCGCCTCCTACTTTCAGCTGGTGTTTCCACTGTAATGACCTCCTTCCGCTGTTCACTCTGACGTTTTTTGAATCCTGTTTTTTTCCTGTGGGAAAGTTTTCATGGAAGTATGCGAATCCTTTATGTTTGTGGGATAGTTGCTCTCCTTTCCCTTGGTTGTACTCAGCGGTATTATGTAGACTACTGCGCTCGTGTTCTCCATCTTGACAAAGGGCTTTAAATGTGGGCGGCAGCTATATAACCCCCCCCCGCCGACTCTCAAGCACGTGCCTTTTATGACACATGATTTTATTCGCCCTTCGTCACGGCTGGGGACTGTTTTTTGAATGCAAGAGGAGACATAGTTTCATTGCGCAAATTTACAAGCGTTTGACCTTCAAGTGGCGCGGACTTTGCTGACGTTATACCCACCAGTTTACTCGTCCTCCTCCTTCCTTATTTCCCCCCCTCCCCACTTTTCCTCTTTAACAGATGCTCTGTCGTTTCACCTTTGGGAGCTTCTACTTAGTATTGCAGAGGTTATAAGTGAACAGTTGAGGTTTTTCGTTTGAAGTCCCTCTCGGAGATGCCATCTGTTACGGTTCTGTCCTAGCTGAAAGTAAGTGATAAATCAGCTGCTTACGGTTTCAGAATTAAACTGTTCTGATCGGATTCCGCGGCCCATAAATTTGAGCCTGCCACCTTGTTCCCACCTTTTATAAACCGAACCCGGTTTCTGTGGTAGATTCGCTTTATCCAAATTATTGATTTATTTGTGTTGTCAAGCCTTGCAATCAAACGCAGTCAGTGACATCTGTACACTTCCCTCGTGATTGATGAGCCCCTATTGGCTCGTTACCTCCGCCATTCCTCCTCCTAATTTCGCCTCAGGCAGGCATTTTTTGCGCCCATTGGGGGTTGTCAGAGAATGAAACCAGCAGCAAGCCCATCAACGCTGTTTTTTTCGACAACCACCACCAGTACCATCCTCATCATCATCATCATCATCAACAACAACAACAACAACAACATCAACAACATCATTATCATCAATCATCATCATCAGCAGCAGCAGCAGCAGCAACAACAACAACAAGTGTACGATAACTATGAGCACCTGCACAACGGCAACTGTCTTGTTGGTTGTTTCCCTCTCTAATTACTGACATCCTCTGCGAACTTTCGACAAATGGGCAACTTTCTTTTTTTTGTCCTCCTCGACCTCTAAGTGCTTTGGGAAATATATGTAAAAGGTGGTCGCAAATACCCGTTGATTGTATTCGTCCTTGTCCTGTTTGTGCCCTTTTTGGTTGTTGTAGTTCGGAACCCTTTGACCTGCTGGGGTCATCGTGCTTCCCAGACCACATACCCGACAGACTTATAGTCCATAAGTAGTCTGTGGTCAGAGGTTTTTATGCTGTTGTCAATGTATCTGCATAAAATGCATGCATTTAAGTGCATAGTCTAGTCTACGTCTCTTTTTTACATCCAGTCTCTGACGGAACATCCAAAGATGGACCGTCAGCTTATCCTCTACGCTCCGAAGGTGGCTTCCGAGAAGGAGTACACCAATGTCACCGAATTCTGGATCAATCCTGCCTTCGGTGTCAAGTAAGCCTTTCTCTCTCCCTCTCTCATCAAAATATTGCAATTCTGTTTGCCGTTTTATGTATACACTTCTATCGAACAAAAAAGAAGTGCGATTGGGGCAGTATTTATGTCGGACTTACTCATCCCTATCTCCCCCTTAGCCACCAATAATATGACGAAAATGTCCACCGCGGTCAATTGAGCGTGTATTAGTTTTTTTTATTGAGGCAGACTTGCGATGAATATACTGCACACTCTCTCTCTCCTTCCTCTCCCAACCTTGCTTCGATGACAAGATATCATTAGAATGACTTGGGATGGGCGCGGACGCAGTGACTGACGCCGCCTACGCGTGCCATACGAATTCGTCTCTATCACCCACAAACCAGGCTTCTGTTACGCCGACTTGGATCTCATATTTGAATGAGAATGTATCATAAAGACCACACTGAGAAGGAGCCGTTGCAGACTGACTCTCAGCCCCGAGAAGTCTGATTCATGTCGGCAGTTGGCAGCCTTTTGAACCACGACTCCTGGTGTGGTGCGATTGATTGGTTCAGGCGCCTCTGATTTATCAGATTGCGGAGTGTGCTGATTGCCTGTGTGCGAATGGACTCCCTAGTTGAGAAGAAGACGACTCCTGACGTTTCGGATTCCCGATACCCGCGAGTGCAACTTACGCCGCTATCACGAGAGCGCACCGTGGCTACCGATTTTTCCTCATAGCTGATTCGTCCCATGTCACTGACGCCTGCTAATGGAGCGGACTGAATAAATACTCCCCAGCCTGTGATAAAAGTGACTTGCTTTAAAGTGCTCCCTGAGTACCAGCTCTCTCTCTCTCTCTCTGGCCGCGACTGGCCTTCCCTCTTCTCTCGTACCGTGCTTTGGGAACCGGGGTCGGATGATTCACCGTTCGTGTTAATTAAAAGTACCAAGTGCCGAGTCGTAACAAAATTCCAGGCTATCCAAAACCTGATGCCGAGTATTCCTGGCTGATGATTACTAATAAGCCGCGTCCTTCGTCTTCTCGGTTTTTTTCCCTGTATTATTACTGGTCGATGTGTGA